CCCTAATATAAAAAGAAACTTAGGGTGCTGTTGTCTTGTTGCCTTTAAAATCACAAAATCCCAATAATGACTTTGCAAGTGTTAAAAGTTTAAAAATATATATATAAAGTTATAAACTTATAAATTTATATATATAAGTATAAATTTATAATGCTTATAAACTTGTTTCTCTGTCACAAATTATATGTGCATGTGTATTTTTAATTAAGTACATTACTTGCTTTACAAATTGTTTTTTTTTTTTTTAAAGTTGATTAAGGTGCCCCAAGAAGTCCTTACGGTCTTATCACAGAGTACCGCGGAAGAGCATTTAAAAGGAAGTTCACGCCTCCTTCCCAACCAATGTCGCAAAACTTGCCTAGAGGTGGGGTTTGAACCAAGGATCATACGTTTCTGAGGCAAGTGCGCAACCACTGCGCCACGACTGTTCAAATTTTATATTATTAGCACTTTAATAAAACCCACATTCAAATTATAGAGAGGAAGCCATAAAACAATACATCGATTGTGAATCTGAGGAAACAATACATCGATTAAAATCTTATTTAAATTTATATAAATTGTCTGTCATATCATATACAAATGTATATGATAAACAATTTATATAAGTAATGTCAGTTAGCCACAGAGCCATTTTATTTAATTTTAGAAATTTCTAAAATTTAACAGAATCTCTCTGACTATTTTGCAGACATCTATATTTTCAAATTGTTCCCCGATCCGGCACACTGAGCTTTTCTAGTGTTGTCAATGGAGGGCACATATTACTTGTGAATAGTGCATCCAATACCGATAACATTTTTCAACACCGGTATTTCGGTACTGAATTATTTCAATACCGGTAATACGGTATAACACCGGTATTATTTTTATTATTTTAATTAATCATAATATGAATAAAGTCTCAAATAAATAGTAAAACATCTTTGATTCAAGATGCTATTTTATTTTATATCAAAATAACAAATTTTTCATTGTTCACTTTTTTCTCCTTTGTAAAGTATGCCCGTAAGAAACATAGGGCATTCAGAGTATAATCTTCAAGAGATCATCGTAGTTTTGTGACAATGTTGCCACTTGCTGAAAATCCATTCTCCGATTCGACACTGGTTGGCTTTACAGTTTTCAAGTATTCGTATGAATTTTGCAAATATGTACCGCGAGTTCCTCCATCTTCGAAAACTACCATCTCACTGCGTATGGTTTTTGATAAGTTATTCGAAACGTTCAATCTTTCCTTGTTACATTTCAGCGCTGGATCCAAGTTTTCGTAACGTTGATGGCCTTTGTGCAGATAGTGCAGTAAGCTGGAAAAAGGTTGTACGTCGCTCATTGATTCGTCGCACTAAAGTAGCTTTTAACTTAACAGCTAAATCTGTGTTTCCAATGTTATTTATCATGAACATTAGTGTTGTATCGGCTGATAACAGTGTTGCAGCATTTCGGCACAATGCTTCCACAGCCAATTTTACTGGCTGTGGAAGCATTGTGAAGATATGAAACAACACCTAAAATTTAATTGAACTCCTTATCAGTTATTTTAATTTTGGATTCAAGGTCAATCAGTGACTTGCGAATGCAGTTTTTCAATTTCACAAAACGTTCGAGCATTGTGTGTAAGCTACTCCAGCGAGTTTTGGAGTCAAGTATCAATGGAAGGCCTTTATCAAATTTCTCTACTGTGTATTTTTGAAGTGTTTGATCATTTTTTGTCGGAGAATGGTGAAACAATTTCACAACGGTGCGCACCTTAGTAATTAACGGCTGCAGATCATCAGTCAGTTCAATAGGGTCATCTTTTTCATTCATTACAACTTGAAGCCCACCGGAAAAGTCTTCTTCATCGTCATTGGTTTTGTTTGCGTCATCGTCAGTACTAATATCCTCATCACTTTCACTGATATTGTTGTAATTACAGATAACTTTCAAGCTCAAGCTGACGGTATTTTGTACAAAACTTCTTGAACACCCAGTTGAATGCCAAACACAATGCACAACTGTTGTTTGCAATTACTCAAACGTCCCTTTTTCTGCATTACGGAAGCTCCATCAGTAGTAATGCACACAATGTCTTCATCATAGTTCAGCATAAACTGTGCCAACACTTTTTGAATTAAGTCAATGCATTTTTCTGCAGGCAGTGAACCAACAACTCTAGCTAATCCAAGGCTCCAAAATTCGTCCTCGGTGTGAACGTTTACATTTAAATATCTGCGATTTTTAATTGATGTCCATTCGTCAAATGTCAAACTAAATCGCATCCCTTGTGATCGGAGGTTATTAAACTTAGATATTACAGTTTCTTTGATTGTGTCTGCGTATTTTACTACCATATTGCGAATTGTCGTCGCCGATTTTGAAACAACAAACCCACGAGTCTGTGGCGATGTTTTCAGCTCTGATGACGTGACAAATACATAAAGTCCATCAAGGGCAGTCAATCTAGAAGAAACTGCAGGCAAGGAACTGTCGTGTTGATTTTGTAAGTAGTCGATGATCT